TTGTTACGTTTGTGGATATGTTGTAATTATTAAAGCAAATTAATCACAAAATCTTAGGAGGATTTTATAGATTAGTAATAATGTTGTATAGTTAGAGAAAATAAAGGTAAGACTAAAAAATAGTAATTCGAATGAAAAGGTCCAAACAACTTGTATAAGTAGATTTTTTAAAACTCCTTCTCTTTTAATAGTATTGATAGTTCACTAGTTATGATTTAAAGTTTGTAAATAATAAGATTTCTTTGACGTTGCTGATTAGATAAGAAAGTTTGGATTACAAGATTTTCACTCAGGACAGTAATTAAAAGATGAAGTATTCCACATTACAAACATCCATTTACAAGCATCACACAAAGGAACATTAAAATCGGAAAGAAAAAGGGTTCAAACAAACCAAAATAATATTACATCTCATTTGATTATTTCTCAACCTCGGTCTCACCGGAGAGTTCTTCAAGGGATTTTCCCTTAGGTTCAGGGACAAGGAAGGTAAAGAGCATACCGACAAAGTTAATGACACCAAGCATAATCAGAGAATTCTTGACTCCAATGCCTGGTGGATATCCTGCATCCGTCTTGGTCTTGTCTTGTGGTTGGGCTGCGTATAGGAAACCAAACGCTCCCACGATGGCTCCAGCCTTACCTGTCGCAGCTGATATTCCATGGCATGTGGATCTTAGCCTGGCTGGGAAGATTTCAGCCGGTACAATGAAAGTAGTTGCGTTTGGTCCAAAATTGGCAAAGAAAAATGTGAGAGAGTACATAACAACGAAGCCGATACGGTTGTCTGGTTTGATCCAATGGTCGTAGGGGAAGGCGATTGCAAACATAAAGACAGTCATCATAAAAAATCCCATTAGCTGAATCGCAAACCTTCCCATGATATCAATAAATGCAACCGTGAACCAATAACCGGGGACGGTACTGCAAAGTGCAATAAGTGTTTGTGCCCTAGCAATCATGAAAACCTCATGGATTCCATTCATGGTTGCTGCTTTTGGGATCCATCCGATAGCCGAAAAAATATCTTTTTGGAACAAGTTTTGGCTGTAAAATGCAATGTCAAGCAAGAACCAAGTGGATGTACATCCGAGTAGAGGAAGACCATGGCGTTTGGCAAATTCTTTGGAGAACAAGCCATAGTTAAGTCTAGGGTCTTGAACGATATCATCTGCTCTTTCCTCCATCTCAAGCTCCACTTGTAAGACCTTGGACATGTCTTGCGTGGCTTGTTTGATGTTTTTAGCCACCAGAGCGGTGTAACGTGCAGTTTCGGGCATCTTCATACGCCAGTAGTAAGTCAAAGCAGCGGGTAGAGCACCAAACATGACGATAATTCGCCAGATGTAGTCAGCCTGAGGAGGCGTTGAGAGAGCCCTGTCAACCAAATAGGTTGGAGCTGGGTAATTCTTGTCGAAAATGGTAGAAACCGCAAGTGCTACGAAACCTCCGGCCAAGATACCGACACCTTGCATGGCGAAAACAGCAGCGATGAAAGCACCACGAGTCTTCTTGTTAGCGTATTCAGACATAATGGTGGCAGAAAGAGGGTAATCACCTCCAATACCAAATCCCAGCCAAAACCTAAATTAAACATTGTTTTAAATATGCTAATGTATATTTTAACGAGCCATATCCATACCATTAATTTATAAAACATGCGTATTCGCTATTAGATTATTATTAAATCATGTGTATGTATATATAATGATAAATTGTACCTGAAGAAGCAAAGAGTGGTCATGACACCCTTGGCTTTGCTACCAAAAGAGAGACCGGAAGCCACAGAGCACACGATCATCATGATCAAAGTAATACCATAAACTTTTTTCCTTCCAAGCTTGTCACCGAGCCATCCGAAGAATAGCTGACCAGCGAGAGTCCCACAAAGAGCCACACCATTGACCGCAGCCGCAACGTGAGGGGGAAGTGAGCCAGGCTTTTCTGACAATGGATTGAAGTAGTAGAGGCGTCCAAGAAGCTTGGTTACCAAGGAGACGCAGAAAAGATCGTAGGCATCAGTAAAGAAACCCATACCAGCGATAATAATCGCTGTGAAATGGTACAGTTGCGTTTTCGCAACATCTAGTGCCTTTAGCACTCCTAATTGTTGTTCAGCCATCTTAGCCTCTCTTGCCTATCCTGTTTTTATGCAGTTAAAAAGTTAATATTGTATATTTTTTAAGTATTGTATTTTATTTAATGCTAATATAATCAATACTTAATTGGAAGATTTTTTTAAAAAATGTAAGGTTATTAAGATATACATAATCAAATACTTTTAAGCGAGCGCAAACAAAAGTTTTGGTTATATATGTTGAAATAATCATACGTTTTTTGTGTGTGTACGAAATTTGGATGAAGATACAATAAACTTGTAACTAATCTTACCGTCACGTTGTGTTAACGTTGACGAAGAAGGATGAGGCAAAGGAGAGAGAATTGTTGATAGAGAGAGGTAGGGAGATGTGGTTGTGATTGTCTTTCACAGACGTCGGGAATTTATAGAGGAGATCGGAGAAGCTTAGTCTCCGGCATTTTAAGGGTATATCCAAACTTTTATTTTAGTTTATTTAATTTCCATTACTTTCTTAAGTCTACTTCTTCTTTCGGTATGTTATGGTCTGCACATAGTTTCTATTTCTTTTAAAATCTGTTGTTAGTATCATTTTGTCAACGACAACTTATGTGATCTATAAATGGACTTATTCTGTATTTGGTACAACCGTACAACCAATTATATAAGAAAGATGTGCTAATCGGGATGAAATTAAGGAGACCCCGTCCCAATAGCATTTCTTCTTTATATTTATGTCATATTGTTTAATTATTTATAGTAATTTTGTAATTAACAAAAAGAAAATGATTGACACCTACACAAACTATACACTATCAATACAAGACAAAATAGTAAATCATGACAAAATTCCTGACGAGTTTCTTTCCACGGATACATCACAAATAGGACAAGTTTGCATCTTGTAACTAGAAACTAGGATAAAACTTCCCATTGCGCATGATAAATTTATATAAAAAATATTTTAAAAATGTTACATGGAAAAATAAATTTATATTTTTGATTGAATTAATATTTTGACATTTAAACAAATTTTTAAATTTTTTTTATTAATTACATAATTTGTTTATCGATGAGCTGATCCCATTTTTTAAAAACGTTTTCGGTCCAAATATCACTTACTGCAAAGAACCTAACGTTTAGGTCAAAAAATCTTGGGTCTATTTGGTTACAATGAAACTATGCCAGCTCGATTTTATATAATGATTTAGCGATTTAAAAATTAATTATGGTTATGAGAAGTTTACGTTCACGTGTCGATCCTATATATCTTCAATATTTTCTCTTTTTGTGTTTTTTTCATTTTGGTTATTGCTCAATAAAAATATTTATTTTGAAGTTTATTCTTATTCGTTTGTTTATTTTGACCTAAGATTAAGATAATGCTTAAAATTTAAAATAATTAAAATATACATACTTAAGTTAAGATCTGCATTTTTTACAGAATAAGTATTTTATATTTATTATTTATTTCATGTTTTCTGCATATTATGAAATAATAAAATAATAAGTATATATATTAAATAACTAAGAAGTCAGTTACTATTATGTAGTAAATTAGCGTGTGCATATAAATCTAACGATCACTCTTGTTTATTTGAATTAGGGTAAATAAATCAAAACAATCAACCTTATCTATCATATATGATATATAATTAAATTTAAATTATATTAA